GATGTGCTTGGATCTTGAAGACTCATAGCTTGAAAGGCTTGCGGAAGGGTTGTTAGCTGATCTGCTGGGCCATAATCAGAATTGGGTCATGCAGAAAAAACGCAGTAAGTTGTTGGTTTTGCTGTGGCTGCTATCGAGAGGGTCCAGAAACAGTAAGAGTCCAATTTTGAGCAGACTGTCGTTGTTGGGGTCCAAAAGACCAGGCCTGCTGCCAGGTTGGGGCGGCCCAAGGATGTGGGTAATAATTTCCCCATGAAGCCCAAGGTGGAGGAGCGCCAAACTGATGTTGTTGCTGGCAGTCATTTTGTCGCCTATCATTCCCACGACGATGTTGTCGATGGTCACCCCCCGACGATCAGCCGACTGTTGAGGTCGCTAGTCACCACGACTAGCTGCAAAAGAGCAGGGGTTTTCACCGGAATCAGAAACGACAGCGGAAGGGGTGGAGGCGTTATCCCGGTGAGAAGCATGAGATGGTCTCCGGGTGAGACGGGTTTCTTCAAGGGTAAGCATGGAATGAGCTTCATTAAAGGACAAGAGAGGACGTTGGTGACAGATTATGGTAGCTACTTGATCGAACTTGTCTCCCAATCCGTTAATCATATATGTAACCAAGTTCTTTTCAGGAACCGGCTGACCGATGTTAGCGAGGAGGTCGGAAAGCAACTTGATCTTTTGACAGTATGCAGTGACAGTCATATCACCGATTTCAATGGACCGCAACTCGTTATCCAATTGAATAACCCAAGCATCTTTATTGTCATAAAAAAGATTTCTAGAGCTTTCCAGAGATCATGTGTGGTCATACCGGGCTTCAAGACCATTGTAACAAGATATGGATATATAGAGCCATAAATCCAAAGTTTCACAAGGTGATCGAGTTTGTTCCATTCATCAGAGGGGTTGTTGGGAGGGGGGTTTGTAAGGTGTTTGTCAACACCAAAACTGAGACATCAAGCATTAAAAAGTTCACGCCAGGTATCATATTAGATCATCGAGGTTGAGGGTGATCAACACATAGGTGCGGATGTTTGTGATGCCACATGGTTTGTCAGAAGTTTCTTTGTTGTTGTTGTTGTTATCCCCAACCATGGCTAGGGCCGGACAGAAAAGAACAGAGAGGAAAACTGTAACATCCCAAATTTCAAGACCAAAAATTTTATTTTTAATATAGCAATTTATAAAACAATTTATAGAAAACATCATTCGGTTAATTCATTTCATAAAAGGTCATAGATCATAAGTCTCAAAATCATGTAATAACATAGTAACAATATCAGAGTACAAATCCCAAGAATCTCATATGCGGAAATTGTGTGTGTGACGCGTTGCTGCCGTGCCGGCTCCTTCCCCTTCGATGAAGAGGTACCTAAAAATAAAACTGCAAACTGTAAGCACGAAGCTTAGTGAGTTCCCCCATCATACCACATACCATAAACATATATTGCCTATCCCTCGGTATCTTTCAACCGGTATCCGACTGGCATAACCGGAAGCTGGACTTCCCTTTGGTATCTTTCAACCGGTAGCCGGGAGCTGACCTCCCCTTCGGTATCTTTCAACCGGTAACCGGGGACTATTTCACCCCTACCACTACCATATAATAACATGTCATGAACATACTGCTAGACATGTATGTGCACTGTCTACCCCTTCGGTATCTTTCAACCGGTAACCGGGGACTATTTCACCCCTACTACTACTAACACATATATCATAGCATCCTAGCACATAACGCATATCAGATAGTGGCATACCAGACAATTATCACAAAGACAATCGTCTAACAAAGAACTCCTACTAGTGGGCCGACATTGTGGCCTTAGACCCACTTCTACTGGAAGGTAACTCACCTCGATGTCGTGCCGAAACTGAACTGTCCTCGATGCTGGGATCAACTCCTCTCAAACTCCTACACATGACATCCTTCCTTAATAACCATCTCATACTCTTAGCCCTTCAAGGGTCAACTCAAGTCAAAGTCCAATTCAAGGTCAACACCTTGGTCAAAGTCAACTTTTGGTCAAAGTCAACATCTGGTTGACTCAACTCGCCGAGTTGGTCCACCAACTCGTCGAGTTCCATAATCCATAAAATACCGGAACTTCGATCCTACTCGCCGAGTTTTTCAAGAACTCGTCGAGTTCTCCTTCATGCAGAATCGGGACATTCTGTTTGAACTCGTCGAGTCCTTCCTTGGACTCGTCGAGTTCATCTTCATCTCAGTTGGGACAGTTGCTCTTAACTCGTCGAGTTCATCCTTGAACTCGTCGAGTTTCATGATCTTCAAGTCCATAAACGAGCCCAACTTGCTGAGCCATTTCCAAAAACTCAACAAGTTGCTCAATATTAGAAAGGATTGGGGAAACTACGACCCAACTCGCCGATTCGTATGAGCGACTCGTCGAGTCCTTCAATGTCCAAATTCATACAGCCGATTCCAATCGGGCTTAACGCATCTAAAACGTAGATCTGACCTCCTAGGGTCGATATTACACGTACAGTTACAAACTTTACGTGCATGCAAGGTGTTATGAGCCAAAAACACCATTTCCAAGTCTAAAATGAAATCTAGGCCAAAGGGAAGGGCTAAAGCATGATAATTTCGTAAACTTTATGGCTGAAAGGGTTTAGATTACACTCCATACTAAAAAAGGTTCACAAAATTGCTAAAAGATGGCCCTAAACTCAAATATGGAGAGATCTAGCAATAGAGAAGTCAAGGAAGCAACTTTATACCTTAAAGGGACTGGAAATGGGGCTTGAACCCTGGATCTACTGCTTCCTTGAACCTTCTAGCTCATTCTTCTTCTTCCTCTAGCTTCAAGATCACACAAACACTCTAAAAAATGACTCACACTCTTGTAAAAGCTCAAGGGTCACAAGTTAGGGTTTTATGGACTAAGGGAGACGATGGGGGCTGCATGGGAGGCTGGTTAATGTGTTTAAATAGGGTGCAAAACCTAAAATTTAGGGTTTCATCCAGACAGGTCTACTCGTCGAGTCGGGCTTCCGACTCGGCGAGTAGACTCTTCCACCCGCGTCCAAAAAGTCACACCTACTCGGCGAAGTGGGGCCTCCAACTCGTCGAGTCCCAAAGTAAATATACAAATGCTTATATTAAAAATACGTACCAGGAATCGGGCGTTACAAAAACGATGAAGAGGTGAGAAGGAAATGAGAGGAATTAGGGAGCTATAGAAGGTAAGGCTCTGATACCATAAAAGTAGTATATTTTCCCATGAAAACTATTGATTCATTATACACAAATATATAGGATACAAGCACAAGAATGGGTTGAGCCCTATTTAGGGTTGAGATACATAACAATACACATATATAACATTTTAACAAATTTCTTTTTTTATACATATTTATTCATTAAAAATTTCTTTTTTATACACTTCTTATCATTAAATTATTTTTCCTTTGTTAAAAAACAAAAAATACAATTATGACATGCTATTGTAGGTTTCCATGAATACATTTAGTCACTTTTTTATACACATTTAATTACTAATCATATTTTTATACATATTTAGTCATTAATATTTTTTTATACATTTATCACTAATTTTACATGATATAAATACATATTATTACTCACGAATATGTATAAATATTTATATAAAACAAATATTTACATATAATTAAAATATTTTTATAAATAAATGTTTTATTTTTTGGTATAAATATAAATACTAGTACCATATATATGTATTTTTTATATTTTCATGTATAAATACATATTGTTTCATTTAACCTATATAAATGAAACGAAAGATGAAACATAAATTATGGATCAAGCAAGCCTTCTTGGGGCTTTTTAAGAATAAGAAAGAAGAACCTCATGCAAATACGAATAAGTTTGATCCTATTCATGGAGATTCCATAAATATTTCATTCCAAAAATGGAAACAATTGTGATTTGTTTATAAATTGGATGCAATTACTAATTCATGATCTTACATGTACAGAATAAAAATTTCATTATTGATTCTGCGAGAATTTTTATGAAAGCCTTTTATTTGCTTCTCTTCGATGGAAGGTTGATGTATGTCAATTTTTACAATTAAACTGGATTTTAATGTATTAATAAACATAAATTTATAAATTTTTAATACAATTAAACCATATTCATAAAGTATAAATATGTATATTTTTACCTTATTACTATCCTAGTTGTTTTATTTTGAAATTTTGATCATCACATAGATATTGTATTCAAATCATTTTGAATCCTTTAAGTGTATACATGGACATCTAAAATATGCCCTTAGGTTTTAAATATATTATTTCATGTATTAACTTAAGTACTTTTAATATGACTAATTTTAAATAAAAAAAAATGAATTAAAAAAAAAATCGACATTTTGATTTTCAATTTGATTTTGAATCGTTATATTTTTTAATTATTTTTATTCATAGCATAGAATCCAAGATTAAGTTATATCAAATAAATTAAGTTTATATTAAGTTCAGATTAAGCAATGACCGATTACATTTTTTATATAATCGTTATTTTGTTTATGTTAGGCCAATTCTTATTTTAAATAAGATATCTTTTACATTAAGTCATTAACTATTATGAACCCTATTTTCTGTTTAGTTTATACAAATTAACAACACAATTTAAATTTTGTTAATTCGATAACGACATTTTGTATCGTACTTATTAATCTTCTACGAAAAATATATCTAAATATGATTAAAAAACAATGTGCCAAAAATACCAAAAACAAAAACACGATTAATTTCCATGACAAATATGAATGAATGGAAAATGCTTAAATTCATAACAAAAATTCAATTTCCAATTATGGATTAATCAGAAGATATCAAACTTATAACGTATTCTATCAAACACAATAAAAAAACACCCATAATCCTGTTCCTAAACATGCAAATCCAAACTTTCCCCAAAAATCACAATATTCATGAACAAAAATCAAATTCAGATAATCACACCTTTGATTTCTCCTTCAATTGAAAAGTATAATTCAAATTGTCCATTTCCAGATCTTAATTCGAAGATCCACCTTGCATTTACCATCTGACGTTGTGGCCGTCGTCGCTGTTTTTCCGGTCGGTGCTGCCGCCTTGATTCCCTCACAAGTAACTCTAATCGGTACCTTTTTAGTCTTGAAGCTTCCGATCTTCGCCTTCACTTTGGTATCGAGCTGGATCTTCAATGGTAAACTCTTTTTGTTCTTCAGATCTGATTTAAGAGCAGAGTTATCATCCACTGTTTGTCCGGTCGTTGACACGGTGGTCCGCAACATCGTCGTGTTCTTCTTCCCCATCGTGAAGGCCGGAATCAATCCGTCACCGACATCAACGTCTTTCGAATTAAACGAAACAGAAACCGGATCGTAGAAAAATACGATCTTCTTGTTAGGGTTACGAGCTGTAATGGTGAAATTGAACTTCGTGGTGAGTTTATCCGAGGAAGTGAGGTTGAATTGAGAGACATGGAGAGAGGATACTGAGAACGAAGGACGGTGAGGACGGTACAAAACGTACACAACTCCACCGGCTATGGCGGCGATGACAATCAACAGAAGTATAACACAGGTGATCCAGAGACAACAAGAGCAACAGCAGCTACGGCGGCTGCGGCGGGGTTGAGGTCTGTACACCGGACGAGTGGCGTTGTACATCTGGGCTTTGGTAGCCGGAAACGCAGGGTTTCCATTGCCGTTTCCGTTTCCGGCGCCGGTGGGTGCGGCGGGAGTGGGGCCGGTGTTGGGCTTGGAAGCAGGGTAGATTTTCTCTGCCATTGAAAAAATGGTGTGATGATTTGTTTAGGTAAGTCGATCACTCTCGATCTCTGTCTATTTAATTTGTGGTTTTTGTTAGCTGAGATCTCCTTGTAAGTACGTGTATTGTAGTTGACGGTGGCGCCGGGAAAGTGACAGAGAAGAGAGAGAGAGAGAAAGATAGCAACCGTGCAACCAAAAGGGAGGTTGAAGGTGGAGCAAAGCCGCGGAATCTTTATCTCTGTTTATTGGAAGATGCAAGGCTGTTTTCGGAGTTGGAGGGAATACATCAAATTCCTTTCCTCAATCATTAACCCTAAAAAAAACTTTCTCATCAAAATATGGTTCTATTTTTGGTTATATATATAGTCAAAATAAATGGGGATATATATATATATTTTTTTTTATTACATATCTAGTTTTGGAATAATATACAAATACTACGATAATAATTAAACTTTTTGAATGAATTTGAAGATTGGATTAGATTAAAAATATTATATTTTATCCTTTTTAATAAAGAAATATCTTTTTGACACATGTCACATTCTCATTTATTTTGCCACATATAATTTTGTGATTATTTTAAATTAATTTTTATTCCACATGTCATTTTATTAAATTGTAGATAGTATTTATATTCAATAATAAATACATATCAATTTCATTAATGAATTTTCATTTTTATTTTAAAATTACCAAATTAAATATTCATTAATTTTCTTTATTTATTTATCTAAATTATTTGTTTAAATTATTTATTTATCTAAATTATTTGTTTAAATTTAAAAGAGAAAAAAAAACACTTTAATTTTTATAATTCAATATTTTCTTATTTTTCTTATAAATTCATACTTTTCAAATGTGTAGAATTTTGTATTTAATTTTTTTTAAATAAACTCATATAATACATGAGTCTCATACCAAGTTTAGACTATAATCCACATCTTTAATTCGTTTGATAAGTATCATTTTTAACTAAACTTTTAATAATCTATTCTTAACAAATCAAAGATTAAATGCATTTTAAATCGACTCGTTAACAAATAAATAAATCAAAATTATCGTATTTGTTGTTTGTACAAGTATGCATCTAACAATAATGTTCTTTAAATAAAAGGAGTTGAGTTGTCTACATACATATTTTGATTGAAATTATATATTTTTAATCAAACTTTTTTATATAATATTAACTATATGTGAAATCTGAAAACTTTGTAGATCAATTTCCAAAACAGAAAATTTAATAGACAATGTTCACCTACAACTATAAATATGATATTAATTATTAAACAATAAAGACAAATTTATATCCATATGGTTGTACTTATTTTATCTATTCTTCTTTTGCTTACTAACACACACACATATATATATATATATATATATATATATATATATATATATATATATATATATATATATATATAACATGACAAAGGAAAAGTCGGTGGAGACAACAATTCGATTAGAACGTTTTTGGGTGTGTTCGGTAGTTACTTTCTAATTAGTCAACCTTATACTCTCTCCGTTTTAATCGAGCAAAAACTCATTTTATGAAATAAATATAATATATTTATTTATTTGGATGAAGTAATATTTATTTAATTAATTTTAATCCAATTTTATGTATTAATCTATTACTTGTATTTATAATCATATTAAGATAAGATATGGACGAAGTAAAGGATTTAGCTGGAAAAAAAACACTAAGAAAAAATTCATAGAATAACCAAGAAGAGCGGAATGTTTAAGAAAAATGACTAAGATTTTTTTTTTTTCGGAAAATGACCACGACTTCCGCAGAGACGAGCTCCGTAGAAGTCCTTATCTTTTGAGAAATGCATTTTTCAAAAAATGACATGATGGGAAAAAAGACAAAAAAATGTTGCAGAATTCATGGTTCCGCAGAGAAGTTCTCTGCGAAATTGGTACAGTGCTCTACGAAAGTATAACGTCTCTATGGAAATGGTAGCTGGAAGTGGTAATGAAATTCCAACATTTTCGCAGCTCTGCAGAAATGGTACACTGTGCTGCGGATCCTTTAATTCTTTACGGAAATGGTTGCTGGAACCATGATATCTGCAACATTTTTTGTCTTTTTCCCCGTCACGTCATTTACTGAGAGACAAATGCATTTCTCAGAAGATAATCTTCCTCTTTTTGGTCATTTCACAAATTTTCTCATATAATGAACATTGATGAGTAAATCGAAAATTAATATATATTGCAAACATATTAAATGGTATATCTTATAATTTTCCTAAAATATATAGCAAACTAGGTGTGAGACCCGTGTATTACACGGGTTTATTAAAAATAAAAATTTAATATCAATATATAAACATGAAATATTTTATAAAGTAATATTTTACATAACATAATGTAATCTTTTGGAACATTTGCAAAAGAAATTAAATCGTTTGGAGTATTTATGAAAATTTATTATCAAATTAATAGGATGATTTTATTTCCTTATAGAACCAATTACAATTTTATGAAATTTTATTTTAAGAAAATGAAAATTTTTAAAAAATGACAAGTGAAAAATAAAAATTATAAAACTCTCACAAAATGACAAGTGTCAAAATAAATGAGAAGATGACATATGACAAAAAAACCATTCTTTTATTAGAGAAATTTTTTTTATCTTAGGGACTTAAAATCAAAATACAAATTTGAATCAGGGTCGTGTCATTAAGGTATTGCTTAGGAAGGAAGTTAATAATCAAAAAAAGTTTTGGGGTTTTATCTTAGGGACTTAAAATCAAAATACAAATTTGAATCAGGGTCGTGTCATTAAGGTATTGCTTAGGAAGGAGGTTAATAATCAAAAAAAGTTTTGGGGTTTTATCTTAGGGACTTAAAATCAAAATACAAATTTGAATCAGGGTCGTGTCATTAAGGTATTGCTTAGGAAGGAGGTTAATAATAAATTTTTTTTGGGGTTCGAACAACGGGACCTTGAACCTAACAACTTCTCATTTTTGGGTATTTTTTAATTCGTTGTATATTATAAAAGTATATATTGTGATAGTTGATTTATAAAATTCAGTAAAAACCCACCAAAGCGGCTAATCTAGCTTCTTGTTTGGCGGTCTAATTCACTTGTCTTCACACATGTTCGAATCGCATACTTTACATTTCTTGTGAATTTGTTGTATTTACTATTTCGGCCTACTAGTAATTGAGATCGAAATATACTACAATAATAAAAATGGTACAAGTTTAAAGCACATAAATTATATCTCAATCGAACAATTACATGTTATAAATCTTTTAAATGATAAGTCTAAAAGCTAATAAATTAATTTAAAATCAAACTATGTAAGATATTATTTCTTTATTCTAAAGTAATGTTGTAACAAGAACAGATTAAATTATAAAAATGGCCCATGTAGTTTTTTAATCGAAGTCCACTTCTATAACTAGAAAAATACTTATGCTAGGTAATGGGGTTGAATTTCTTTTATTATTATTATTATTATTATTATTTATATATTATCAGCAGTTTAGTGAAAGTCAGGGAGTAGAAGCGACGACTCCACAAACACGTAGACATTTTCTGTAAAATATGGGGATAATTTTTAAAATTAATTTTATACATAGGGATCAAACCTACCAAGATATAATAATGTTAAACATATGGATTGTTGTTGAAAAAAATTATAGACATCCTTTCTATAAATTAAACAACTACAGGGACTAAATCTACTAAAATGTGAAGCTTTGTTGTAGGGACTAAATCTATCAAAATATGTAATTTTTGTTGTATGGACTAAATTTGCCAAAAGGTTTTGCAGGGATTAATCTCTATCTAAATATGTGGTGATTAATCCATAGCTAAATCCGTGGTGATTAATCCCTAGCTAAATCCGATGTGATTAATCTCTAGCTAAATCTATGGTGATTAATCCCTATATAAATTTGTGGTCTATATTCTATAGCAGATTCCATAGCAAATTATGTAGGAATATTTTCGTTGCAAAGCTAGATATCTACGGATGGATAATTAATTTACAAATTAAATCCAAATTAATTTGTACTAACATATAAAAACAAAAATAACAAAAAATCAAATAACATTTATATTATTAAATAAAACAATAAATATTTGTTACATCAAAAATTAAAGTGGCTATTCTAAAATAAATATTTTGCAATAAACAAAATAACACTTTATGATTTTTGTAGTTGTTGAAAACCGTTAATAACAACCATTGTCGTTTGTAGTTGGTTATGAAGCTTCTCGATTCTTATGTTGTGTTGGTCATCTTTGACCTTCATTATCTCCTTATGTTCTTCATTTTGCTCTTTTTATTGTTTAACAAGCTCCTTTAATTCTTGCAGTTCAACATTTTTTTTTTCCGGAATGTAATTAGATACTTATGTGGTACTGTTAATCATCATGGGAACCACCTTTGCATATAAGCCAAATCCATACAGTCTTCTTTTCTTGTCATGATCATCAACAACATCATAAAATATTAGGTCATCCTCAACTTCTTCACCTACAGCTACCAACTTTCTTTCTTTTTTTTTCTTTTTTTTTCCTGTAAAGCCAGCCTATAAAATAATAATAATTTAAAAAGATATCAAACTTATGAATAACATGAAGTCTACAATATAAAACTTTGCATTGAAATGAATGTTACATGAATTTTTCTATCTTTTTCATTTGTAAATGTGACTCCATCGTGATTCCTTGTATGTGTATACAAGAACAGTTCATTATGTGATAGATCAATGTCCTAATTTCCTCTTCTGCATAAATACCACAACATGTAATATATATACACATACACATAAACATACAAACTCAGATGTACCGTTAAAAAAAAACTTACCAAATCAGAAGCAACCTTCAAATGAGAAGTGAATCCAACGTTATGGGTAGGTTGTGGTATTCCATTAGCTACCCCATTACGCCTATTAATCTTGTTCTGATTAGATTTCTGCTTGTATTCATCTATACTCCATTTAGCTTGCCATGAGTTCCATACTTCTAGTGTGATATGAGC